ACGGGTTCTGATCAAGGGCCAGCTACATTCTTCGAGACGGCACTCGGTGCCGTTTTCTCCTCTAAGGCAATGTGGAAGGCATACCCACAGGTTTCTACCTGCATGGGCAAGACGCAGACAGACGCAACACGAGCCGGGGTGGGGGGCGGGGGGCGGCGGAACAGCTTGGGTAAAGGCTGCCTGCACGGTTACTCTTTTCCATTTTTCCATTTCTTTTGAAAGATCAACTCCTTCTTCTTGCGGGGCATGTCCCAAGGTCCGAAGAGGGACTAAATGATCTTTTACTCCTTAGCTCCAAAGACCACGTGTGCAGAGGTAGGGGGGAAGCAAACCCCAGGTTCCTCCTCACACAATCTCGTGCTATCTGCTCCCACAATGCCCTGCATTGCTAAATAGTCTGTTTTCTCCACTGAACAAGAAACTCAGCTCAGGACCAGCCTCCTCACAGAGCACTGAACCACAGGGTGTAACTAAACAAAACCCATGACACATAGACAGGGCCTAATTTGGGTTGGCATTTGACTTTATGACTGCATTCACTCAGGATCTTAATTCTTTGTGTCCAAGAAACAGGAGTGCATGTTCCTCCCTGTCTATAAATGTGCCTGATACCAGCGGCATGATAGCCTATTTGGTCTCCTAGAGACATCCACAAAGAGCCACTATAAAGTCAGTGGCACGTTAGGCCACTGGAGAACACCTTCTGAGTTCTTGTCACTGTCTGGCCTTAGAGTCACTGTTGACAGCGCACCACACCATGCTCAAAAGTCAGCCACAACCAGAAAGAGATAAATTTTTAGGGGCAAAGCAAGCATAGGCACGGGCCATTAGTCAGCTAAAGGTTCTAGAAGTCAGGGGGTATGCACATGTGACCTGACGTTGTAAATAAAAGTCTCTGGTTTTAAGAGAAAGGAGAAAAGAAACCCTTCTCCTCCCATAAGCTTCTTCCTTCTCCCATCAAAAGGGGCTCCGGAAAAGTAACGTGTTACATGTTATGTTGCTAACTGAAAGGTCATCATTTCGAATCCACCAGCTGCTCCGAGAGAGAAAGCTAGTTAGGCCTCTATAACAATGTATATACAGACATAGGAAAACGATGGAGGGTTGCTGAGTGACAGCCGACTCTGCAGCGTTGGGCTGGGGGGATCCCTCAGCACAGGTAAGCTTCTGAAATGCCAACAGATATTTAATGCCTGTGGCCCTACACCTGTGGCTCAGGACACGACATGTCAATGGCTTTCTGAGAAAGAGAATGCAATGCGGCACCTGTGAAACATGCAGTCAGTCTAGGCAGAAATACGGAGTCTGCAAAGCAAGCTTCTTCCTGGACAGAAGTAGTCATCTAGTCTATACGTTAAAATTTTAAAACATCCAGGAGTGGAATAATGATGACCATAAAACTGAAATTTATTTCCAACACCAAAACTATGTATGCTTCTTGACATGCATCAATGAAAGCTCCTATTTGGCCAGATGGGAAAATTCTGATAAAGAGCCCTAGTGAAATCCAGATATCTAGCAAAACTTTTTAAGGGATCGTAGAACTACAGTCCTGTTTATTTCACTGATTAGTATGTGGCTACTGGCAAAGCATGTAGAACTACCTGTCAAGGACGCTGCTTAGGAAGGTAGGAACTTTCATTCCAAATTACACCCAAGACTCTGGTCCTTAGACACCCTTCCAACCTGGAACAGAACTCCAGAGATCACCTGTCTGCCCACCAACAGACATACGTGAACATGAGAAAAACCTGCTCAGAACAGTCAACCTTACAATACCAAAAGTACAGCGTCTGCCCCAAAACAAAGCTTAGGAGGCAGGAAGGGGCAAGAAAGATGGGCGAATAGAAACAAGAAACCCAGAGAGGAAATGGGAAGAGGGCTGTAAGTGAGGCGATTGCAACCAATGGCACAAAACAAATGTGGATAAACTGTTAAAATGGTAACCAATGTGCTCTGCAAACTTCCGCCCAAGCCACAATAAAAAGGCTCAAAAGAATTCTTATTTATTTAAATTGTTCTGTCTCAGATTCCGGTCTTGAATAGTCTTGATCCACAGTTAACACTGGAAATAACAGCTACATCCTTAGTTTTCTCTAACCTGGGAGCTTTCAAACCCTTCCTGGATTCTGGTTAAATGAAGGTTTAAGGAAGAAGGAGCACATAATAGGCAGTAAACAAGTGATCAGCATTAAAAACACTAAAACCCTTAGACTGCAGGAGGACATGATCCTCACAGCCCCAGCATTTGTCCTGACAATTTCTAAAAATTATGTCTTCACAGGTATAACTTTTATCTATAAGGATGTATTCATTTTAAGACTATTCCTCTGTTTAAAGAGGGAATAACAGTCATTATTTTCTAATTGTTATGCTTGATGCTGTTAGGTGCCATCGAATCAGCCCTCCAGTGGGGTTCCAGTCAGTAAATTGCTCCCGTGGGAGGAGATGATTCATCTTCTGATACGAGAGCAGCTGCCTTCAGGTACTAGGCCAACATTTCTAACACGAGAAATTAGAAACGTTTCTACTCCAAAATGCAGCTAGGTACAGTGAATTGCCCACTCCCCACCCCACCCTTAGCCCCTATAGTAAGTACATGGGCTCAGTGTTTTTGTTTTTTAAAGAAACACTAATGTTGAGTTTTGAATTGAGCATTGCTGTTGTTGGGTGCTATCAAGAATCCAGCTCATAAAGACCCTGCATGTATCAGCACCAAACCCTGTTCTAGTCTCATAGTCTCCACTGCGCTCCAGGCCCGGGTTGCAGTCACTGCGTCAATCCATTTCACCAAGGGTCTTCCTCTCTTTAGTCGACCTACTACTTCTCCAAGTATGAGGTCCTTCACCTAGGACTGACCTTTCTGGACAACACACCCCGGTAGGTATGATAAAGCCTCACCATCCTCATTTCTGAGGAACATTCTGGTGGCACTTCTTCCAAGATAGATTTGCTTGTTACCAGCTTGTTGTTGTTATATGCCGGTTGAGTCACCTGTGACTCATAGTGACCCGATGTACAACAGCCCTAAACCCTGCTCTATCCCATGCCAATCTCATTGTCTCCAACATACCTACCCCCCATTACCCCAGTCACTGAGTCTTCCTCTCCTGCTCTGTCCCTCCACCTTCCCAAGCATGATGTCCCTCTCCAAGGACTGGTCCCTCCATGCAACACGTCCAAAGTATGTAAGATGAAGTCTCAGAATCCTTGCCTCGAAGGAGCAGCCTGGTTTAACCCTCTCTAGGATGAACCTGTTTGTTCTCTTAGCAGTCCATGATATATTCAATACTCTTCTCCAACACCACAGTTCAAAGGCATCAATTCTCCTTCTGTCGTTCCTAGGCATTGCACAGCTCTCTGATGCATAGTTACAGAGTTAGAGAAAAGAAAATGAGGATCTCTAAAAAGGCAGGGTGAGGATCTGTAAGAAATGGAAAAGAGGGAGAGGAAGAGGACAGCAATCCCCCTGTTCAGATAAAGACGGGGTCACTCGTTCCCTTCTGCTTTCTTGGATTTAACTTTCCAAGCTAGCTTCCTGCATCCTCCTAGAATTTCTCCAGTTTTGTTTTCTTCCTTTCCTTTTTCACCCTTTTGTTCTAATTTGGCTCTTATTTATTTGCAGCCAATATGAAGAACAACAAGCTAGTTGCTCCAGCTGACTATACCTAATCTTTCATTATGCCTTCCTGCAGGCAGTCTTCCTCATACAGATGTGCCTTGTGCACAAATCATTGGTTCACGTGGGCAGAAGTGGTAGTCGCAGAGGTAGGTCCCGCTTAGAGAGGCAGGTGAACCCCGAGCCAGCCCTCTCATTTGCCTTCAGTGGGACTTCCGGGAGTCACATGCTCCATCACAACCAAGGAATTGTTCAAACTCAGCCGCCAAAGTGAGATTTTCATAGATACTAACGTCATTTTCAAATCTATTCCTCAGGTGCTCAAAATGTCATAGAGAAAAAGACTCAAGGGTTCTATGACAAGATTATTAAACCAATCATGTAACTGCCTGTTCTTCACCAGCCATCCATTTATTTCCCCCTATAAATTCTAAGTGAAGGGGGAACCTGAGTTTAAACCTATGTGTGCAGGACTGGGTGCAATGTAGATATTTAAGAAGTGCTTATTATTTAACATAATCCAAACTCCTCATTTCCACACCCAGCCCAGCATTCTACTCATGGATGATTATAAAGCTCTAGGAAGCTAGTTAAGAGAGAACATATTAAGACATTTCAATCCCTTTGTGGAACTCAAATCACTGTAAATTTCTGTAAAATGCCACACATACTTTTTTTTTTAAAATTTCTCATCCCTGTGCCACTGTCATATTTTAAATTTGTCCTGGAAGGAAAAAAAAAAATCGGCTTAGTTCTAGTAATTTTTCACCCCAAATCCTGAATAATATCACCATTTTGCCAGGATTGGCAGGGTGTGTCTAGCCCTAAAATAACTGGCATTTAAAGCCGGTAAATTGACGGGTAGAACCCTAACTCCTTTAGAGTTTGTAATCTGAATGCATTCATAGATCTGTGTAATTAAAGTAGCACTTAGCGTGAGGCTGTGGCCGAGGAGGTGGCGGGACCGGGAGCAGAAAAGAAGCATCTTTCATCCGCGTTGGCTTGTTGTAGACATTAATCCATGCTTTTAAAATATAAGTGAAATTTAATCTTCAAAATGAAAAAATAGACACATTTTTCTAATTAGGAAAATATAAGATTAAAATACTTAAAAAATAAAATGTTAGTGTGACATAGGGTTTGTTGTTTTTACATTTTAAAAAAAGGAAACCTTTTAGACCTTTTTTAAAATATATATAATATATAAATCATCTTGTCTCACTAATATTTACAACTTTCCAGAGTAGCTCTTATAAGCTACTGGAGGAGACAGGGAGAAAAATTAACCCTCTTTCAAGTTAGAAAGTCAGAACCTGAAAGTAGACTTGGGTGGGAGCTCCCACTGGAGTCTCTTTACCACCATGAGAGGGGCCATAGAGGGATTCTCAACCTTGCAATTTTCTATTACATTCTCCTCTTCCAGGCAGTGTTAAATTCTTTCCAAGAATATTCTATTTGCCCAATGGTTTTATTCTATCAGTCATTTCATTGAAGAAAGCCGCTTTTCCTAGCCTAGTGTGAAAAATGTCCCCCACAGCCACCCAGCTATACAGAGACATCAGATTTTAAAACCATAAACCTAATTATCTACCCCTGAAACAGTATGAACAGCTAACAGAGTGACGTTATCTCTTTCTATTTGTCATGTCGTGAGATGAAAGGCCATGAGGGCTTACGGTGATTACCCATTGTTCCTGAGCTTCTAAAGAGATTTTAAAACAAAAATGACTAACTGCATGAAAGAATGAGTTCTTCAAGAGTGCCCCCTCCATGCCATTGATGTCTTTCATCCCATCTATCTCCTTCAAGAATCTCGAGTAGGGAGAAAAAAAAAAAGACTTCCTTTAAGCCACCGAAAAATGGGACCTGATGGAATCTTCCCGCAACTCCCGATGTTTTCCAATGTTGCTTTCTTCTTGCTGGTTTCGTCTCTCAATGGTTATTCTGTATTTTTTCCTGGGTAAAGAGAAAGTGAATGTAGTAATAAAACCTCCCTTGGCTACAACATACTATGGCTTCTCTTACAAAGAGTGCCCTCAAGGGACATCTGGGTTCAAGCTGATAAATGAGAAGTGACAGAATATGAAACCCTGGTCAGAGATTAAAGTCATGTGCCCAAGGCATTATGCCCTTATTCAAGGAGAAAAATTGGCATGCTTTCCAAAATAGCAAGGAACAAGCCTCCCCCTTCTTCCCTGCATGCCTCGTGGGTTAAGTCTTGTCCATGCTGCCACAGCAGCTCACCCTAACTCCCAGGATATGCCCTAGATAAAGATCCTATTAAGGGTACTGTGACATAAAGGAACAGGAATATAATTGTTCGCACAAAGAGTCTCATACACCCAAAGTGGTATTTTCACGAAGAAATCTTGGTCTAATGACATGAATAAGCCATCACTTGAATGACCAAAGATTTCAAAGGAATGGACCGACCTCACAGTGTTGAACAATTGAGATTCTGAGCACATGAAGATATTATAATTGTATAAAAGCTGGGGTTTAACCACAGTGCTAACAAAGCTCTGGAAGGCTACTGGTAAGTAGCTGTGCTGGCAAACCACAGGCATGTGGTTCAAATCCCCAGTCACGCTCCTTAGGAGAAAGATGGACACGTCCACCGGTGTGATTTACTACATCTGAATGCCTGCTGGAGGGGTCAACTCTGAGTCGATTCTGACTCAATGCCCTAAAACAATAACAACCGATACTAAGTAAGCACTGACCAGCCTGAGAGCTTGTAAATGCTCAGAGATACCACTTCCTCCTTAGAAGGTGAACCAAACTATTTGACTTGGAGGAAGGCTGAGGCCTGGGAAGTCGGTTTCTCCCTTTGTCCAATGTGCCACTTTCACGTAAGTACTTGGTGGTGGCAGTTGTTGAATACTGTTGAGTTGGAATTGATCCACTGCTGACCCTCCAGTGGGTTTTCGGAGGCAGTAAATAGCACAGGAGGAGATTTCTCATCTTTCTCCTGCAAAGTACTAGGTGGGTGATGGGAATCGGGATGAGAATTTCTATGATCAAGGAATTTTAAGGAATGCAACAGAAACCTCTGATCCTACCACCCAGTGTGCTAACCCACTGAACACCAAGCCTGAGGTCACCCCTGAAGAAAAAAAAATGTTATAGAATGAATTTTTTAAAACAACAACAACTTCAGTGCCATCAAGTCAAAACCAAATCATCTCTGAGCCTCCAGGGAGTTTATAGAAGTTGTAAATCACACAGGAGATCACCCATCTTTCTCCGTCTCCCTGGGAATAGCTGGTGGATTTGAACCACTTGTCTCTGGGTTGGTAGCAAAGTTGTTTACTCACTAGACCACTAGTTCCACAACTGACCCTCCACTGGGTTTTCACCCTGCAAGAGATTGTCCATCCTGCTCCAGCGGAGCAGCTGCAGGATTTGAACCATGTGACTTTGGGAGTGCAGCAGAGCTTCTTACCACTGGGCCATCAGAGCTCCCTGGTTGTCTGCTGTAAATCCTAACCACTGTGCTTATGGTTACAATCCTATTTGGGATGGTGTGTCTCTGCTCTATTAATGATGCAGGATTGGTGTGGGGTATATTGTTAGTCAAATTTCTCTGGGACAGAGAAGATATTAAACATCTCTGAGACTGAAGATGAAGAAAGAGAGATGTTAAACCAAAGAAGCCATGGTGAAAGTAGGACTTTCTTTCAGAGCCTTTATAAGAAAAAGTGTTCCCCTACAGACAGCACTCTGAATGCAGACTTCTCATCTTCTAAATTGCGAGAATATAAATTTCTGTTTGTTGACCCTACTCACTGGCAGTATTCCTCTTATAGCAGCATGATATCTTTAAGACAAATGGCTAAGTAGTTGTTGCACTTCTCTGGTAGGAGATATGGTGAATCCGAAGGAAAGTCATGAATGGTAAATAACTAAGGCAGCAAAGGAGCATCTACGTCAAACTTTCTGAGCAGTACTAACCTGAAAAAGTAGAAGGCCATTAGCAAACCAGCTCCTAATAAGGCTCCCACAACGATGCCTGTCACAGCAGATTCCTCTAGGCCACCTGCTTGAGAAACAAACAGAGATTCAGAGTGCATTTGAGAAGCAGGACTGAATGAAGGTCTCCAGTTTGAATCACTTGAGATAAGTTTCTTTTTAAGAAATGTTGTCCTGAGGATCCTGCAAATTCCCTCTTGCCATCTAGGAAGCACTTGAAAAAGTACTAAACAAATATAGTGTTAGGAGGGAACAGATACAATGGCAATATAAACAGATTCAAAAAGGATTTGAGGTGACCTGAAAGTGGAGATTTCCAAATATACCCGTGCTCTTGAAAAAAAAAAAAATAAGGTTAAGCACTTATAACAAAACATTTGCCACTTCAACATTCTTCACATGTGCAAACCATCAGTATGAACAGTGTACATTATATTGTGCAAACATGACTGTTTCTAAATGTTTCCTTCACCCTTAACAGAAACTCAATGTCACCTAATGAATCCTAAGGTACGCCTGATACAGGCCATGGTCTTTGCAATCACTTGTTATGCATCAGAGAGTTGGACAATGACTAGGGAGGATAGAAGGAGAATCGATGCCTTTGAGCTGTGGTGCTGGAGAAGAGTATTGAATGTTCCATGGACTGCCAAGAAAACAAACATATCCATCCTAGAGAGGGTTAAACCAGGCTACTCCTAGAAGGCAAGGATTCTGGGGCTTCGTCTGACATACTTTGGACATGTTGTAAGGAGAGACAAGTCCTTGGAGAGGGACATCATGCTTGGTAGGGTAGAGGGACAGCGCAGGAGGGGAAGACCCTGTATGAGGTGGATTGATTCAGTGACTGGGATAATTGGGATGGGTGTGTCAGAGGCAATGCGATTGGCACAGGATAGAGCAGGGTTTAGGGCTGTTGTACATAGGGTCGCTATGAGTCACAAACGACTCGACGGCACATAACAACAACAACAGCATTCCCCTGATAATCAGCACGTGGGCGATTTCCACCTTTTATCTATTAGAAAGACGGCTACCATGAACATTGGTTTGCAAATATCTGCATTCCTGCTTTCAATAATCTGGCGTATGGAATTAGAAGTGGAATTGCTGAATCAAACTGTAACTCTATGTTGAACATTTAGCTTATCCTCAGGGAAGACAATCAGATGGGCCACTGGGTTGACCCAGCAGGTTGTTTTCACAGATGGATGGTGACACTTCACAATGCTGGGCGTTTGGGTAAAAAAATTCATTGGATTCTATTTCTAGATGTTCTCGCACCAAAGGCCAGAGTTTTATGTCAAAATGTCCTACTTTGCAAAAATGTGAAAATCAATTTGAAACAATCAAATTCAGGAGTGTCCCAATTCTAATATAAAAATGAGAACTCGTTAGTTCGTCTGTGAAACTTTTAATACACAGTCTTCAGTCCCTTCTCTCACTTAACCCGCAAAGCAATCCTAAAAGTGGAGTATATTTTTCTCATTTTATAGAGAAAAAAAATAGTCTTAAAGAGGTTAAGGAATTCTCTTAGGGTCAGAAAACCATCTGGTAATTAGGATGAAACACAAATATAGGCCTAACAATTCCAGACTGTGGTCCTAACACACTTCTTCACTGTCCCTTTTCCATGATTATGGTATAGACATAAATATTCCCAGTTTGAAAAAAGGTTCCTAAAACACAATGATTATTCATATGTTTGGCTAAAATCACCAACTAGAGGGAAAGATCAACATTCACATTGTTCTCCATCAGAAGCTGGTAAAGGGATCTCTTTAAAGCAATGATTCCTAAGACTTTCCCTTTTCTAAGTCCCTTAAAAGAATATCTACTTGCTTCTAGATTGATGCACAAGAATGTTCATAACTTATGGACTTTATTCTTTTTTTCTCTAGTTTCTATATTTATATGAAAGTAATTCATGCTTCATGCTAAATACATTATTTACCTTACACAAACTTTGTTATTTTTTTTTTATTTTAAAAAAAGTTTGTGGTGTTTATTTGGTTTTTTTTCTTCCTTTTCTTTTTCCCAAGGAATCCATGCATTGTGGACTTTCTTCTTATGTGGTATCTTGTAGATTTCCAGGGACTTAGTCAGGAATGACTCTTACAGGGAAGGACCAGAACCTAGAGACAGGCATCATTCTTGGCAAAGTAGAGGGCCAGAGAAAGAGGAGGACGTTCAGTGAGGAAGACTGGCACTGTTCTCCTGGAGCTCACTGGATCTGTAAACTCCTGATAAAGGTGGTATCAGTGGGCTCAAACAGAGCAGGACCGTGCAGGTAGCATTTTGTTGTTGTGCTTAGGGTCATTATGATGTAAAATTAACTCAAAGGGGAGAAACAAAAAGGGACAAAATATATTTGAGCCACAGGAGAAGACTACAAACTTTTTTATTTCTATTTTTAAAATTTCATACTGACTATAAACTTTGACATTCAGAAGGAAACTTAACATGAGACAAGCTCTCTCACAACAGATAGAGGATATCTTTATTTCCCCTAAATTAGAATCCTCAAATACTAAAATGTTGATAAAGTAAAAATAGAAAATCCTCTTCCATTTTGGAAGAGGAAGGTTGTGGTTAGATGCTGTTGAGGGAGCACAGACTCACAGTGACCCTAATTACAACAGAAAGAAATCCTGACTGATCCTATGAGATCCATCCTCAGCATTTCTGCTATCCTGGAGCTCACTGGAACTGTAAAAAGGTGATATCTGTGACTCTCCTCCACTCATTTAAAAAGGAAATCATAACTTTCAGAACGTGACCTCCTAGAGAACACTTATGGTGGAAATCTGCACTCTACCAACATTATATGTGACGGAATAAATAGTAAAAATTAAGCTTCGAAACTTACATGATTTGCAAGGAGAGGTGTTTGTATGCTCCACAATTCTGGTTTCGTCTATTCTCAGCTTTAAAGGTCCCCAAGGATATTTTACATTTGGCCGCATTTCAAAACGACCTTCTTTCCCAAAGTAATCACCAATGACCTAGAAAAATTAAAAAAAAAATTATTATGCATACACACATGAACTGGAAGACCAAAGGTTAAATGGGGGCTTTAAAATATGAGGTAAAAATAGGCATAGAATGATGGTAATAAACGATATAAAATGAACGTGTACAAATGATTGCATAAAACATAGAGTACATTTACAAAACATGATGTACACGAATTATTACATGCAAACCAATAAATACTTTGTTAAAAATCCAGAGAGTTATCTGTTTCTAGTGGAAGAAGCACCCAGCATTGTACTGGTATTCCCTAAAGGCCCTACCTCTGGGTGTGTAAAGACTGGAAGGCCATCCATTCCATCAGCACCCACCTTGAAACAGGAAGTACTTCAGAAGAACAAAGAGCAGAGGTGAGCTGTCCTAGAGAGATCATACTTACTACTACTAATAGATACTACTGTACATGCTGACTTTAATGGTGGGCTCCTGAAGGCTTTCCAAGCCAAGATTTAGAGTCACCAAAGGTGCTGCTGAGGTGGCATTATTTACTCATTATTTAGAGAAGAACTGTAGCTCCCCGTGGCAGCTACAGTTAAGTGTGTCCAGAAAGTTTCCATGGCCAAGAATGCAGTCAAAGGAAGTGATGGATCCACCTGAGGCATACCCATCCTCAAGGCAGAGTCCTTAGCCTGGGTCTCTGTCGGTTAGTACTACTAGGCTAACAAGGAGGATTTCCCCTATCAGGACACTATGTCCTGAAATACACAGGTTTTCCCTTGCTCTTTTGATACTACACTGCTCCACCAGTCAGCCACACAGCACTGAACTGTTGGCCACATGTAACTGACCAAGTTACTCTGACTGACATAAGAGAGAGAGTACTCATGTGTCAGGGATGAAGAAGGGAGAGATGGTGTCTAGTGTCCATGCAGGTTACACATTTTATAGGAACATCTTATACCACTCTGTGATGTTAAGGGTTCATCATTTAAAATGGTTTTCTTAGCCACTAAATTTTACTTTGCCATGCAGATGGGCTGTGTGATCCAGGCCATAGTCTTCACAATTACTTGCTTTGCATTAGGACATGATTACCAAGGATGACAGAAGAAGAATTGATGCGTTTGAGTTATGGTGCTGGAGAAGAGAAATGAACATACCATGGACTGCCAAGAGAACTAAAAGGTCTGTCCTAGAGAGGATAAAACCAAGCTGCTCCTTAGAGGCAAAGATTTTGAGACTCCATCTCACATACTTTGGACATGTAGACAGGAGGGACAAGCCTTTGAAGAAGGACATCATGCTTGGAAGGGTCAAGGGACAGCACAGGAATGGAATACCTCAGATGAGATGGACTGACACAATAACTGGGGTAATGAGGATGTGTCAGAATCAGTGAGATTGGCTCAGGATAGAGCAGGGTTCAGAGCTATTGTGCATAAGTTCTCTATGAGTCTTAGTCAAGTCTATGCCATGTAACAACAGCAACATATGGAGAGGCAGGAATATGTGAATAGGGTGTTCAGCTACCCACAAGGGATTTAATGGCTAGTCTCACTACTAAATTGAGCAGACTCTGTGGCAGATTTGAAAGTCTCATCACCAGCAAAAGGACCAGCAGGCATACAGTGCGTGCCCTTAGGGCCCAGAGATTCTTGCACCGTTTACAACAACAGCAGCCTTGGCTGCAGCAGAGAACCAGGACTTGACATGAGATGGAGCTGGTCATGGGACTGCCCTAGAACCAGAACAAGGAGCTCTTGCCCACATTTGTTGGTGGACATAGGGAGGGCAGGGTTTGACATACAATGGAGTGTTACTCAGCCATAATTTGCAGGACTGAGAGCTTGGTAGCACTTCGAGCACTTTGGAAGATGTCCTGACTGAGTGAATGTGCTCTGCTGCTAACGTGAACTATATATAGCCTTCTGACTTCCCTAATACAGTTCTGTGTCGTCTGTGAGCTATCACATTAGATTTTGGAACCAGTAAATCAGTAAAGATCGGTGTTAGTATGAGTAGAAAGAGGTGGGGGGGAGTGTGGAAGACATTGTCTGACCTCAGGGGAATTGGTTTGTGTTGTGGCTATTGTTGACAGGGACAGTTCCCCCTTGTGGAGTTGGTAAAGGTCAGATATGACCATTCCCACGCAGCCCTTGCTCTTTTTACACAATTAACTCAACATACAAATAAAGCATTGTTATTGTTTCTCATAGAGCTGATTCTAACTCATAACAACCCTTTACGGCAGAGTACAACTGCCACATGGAGGTCCCCAGGCTCCAATCCTATGTCCTCAGAGCAGCTGGTGGATTTGAACTGGCTGTCTTTACGGTGATGGCACAACTCCTTACCATTAAGGCACCAGAGAGCCCTAACTAAAGCATCAGGAACCCTTGCCAGGTTGGCAAACTATTCCTGACCTCTGGATTCCCTCTCTTCTCTGATGATTTCTCTCTTTCCACACTTTCATTTCTTTTTTTTTTAAACATTTCTCAAAGTATATTGCATGCTAGGCTACTCAGTGAGGAGAGTAGTGCTGGGGGTTGGGGTTGGGAGGGCTTATATGGGGTTTTAGCAAGCCACTCTCTCATTTCAAGGCTGCTCTCTCTCCCTCTCAGGTGGCTCCTTGGGCTCCTGGAACCAGCAATTTTTTTTTCCACAGGTCATCCCTCAGCTTCTGTTAACATGGCTGTTCTAACAGCTCTCTGGAGGCTCTGAGTAGTACAATTGGTTAAGATGTTCAGTCACTAATCATATAGGACAGAGGTCCAAATCTACCTTGAGGGGAAAAAGAAAGAGCTGAAGAAGAAAGAGCTGACAATCTAACTTCCAGAAAACAACCACTGGAAACCCAGAAGTTTCATGTTGACACATATGAGGTTACCACATCAAGTCAACTTGAAAAACCACTTGGGAGGGGGAGCAGTTTGTTTTGTATCTGTTCCCTGAACCCTGATCTAAAAGTTTCTAAGCATCTTCCTACCCAGGTTCTCAGGATTTGTCTCCAATTTGTGACAGCTGCCTGTGACATCTCTTCACATCTCTCTCCAGAAGGATCACTTCTCCCATACTTGCCTCAGATTCCCACAGGCTCTTCCATTGTTGTTGTTGTTGTTGTTGTGTGATGTAAAGCCATAACCACCTCATAGCTGACCCTCCAGTGGTGTTTCAAAGGCAGTACATTGCACAAGAGGAGCCCATTCTGCTCTCTCAGAGCAGACGGTGAATTTGAACCACATGCCTGTGGGACTGCAGTGCAGCTTCTGACCATTATTAGGCCACTGGAGCTCCCGCTTTCAAGTCACAGTAAAAACAATTCCAGGTATCCACTAAAACAGAACAGCAGGCAGCAGTTGCTGAACCCTGAATACTCTCCAAGTGCTTGGCACACTCTGTCCTAGGTCCTCACCTCGACCCTAGAATGAATGACTGCCTGCCTGCTTGCCTTTACACGTGGGACAAGTGGAATGTGGGTGAGACTCAGAGTGACAAATGCAAAAAGGCCACTCAATAAGCTGAGTGAGTGTGCTGAGTGCCAGGGACTCTTTCAAGCTAAGTGCACGTGCACATTAAGAAAAATATCAGCACCACAGTCAGGCAAATGAGACAAGGTGCTTGTGGGGCAGTGAGAGGGAGCGAGGATGCACTCACAATGCAAGTGGCCTATTCAATTTGAAACCTTGCATATTTAGAATATGCTATTGCTATTAGATGCCATCGAGCCCAGTACAACTCCTAGGGACCCTATAAACAACAGATCTGAACTCTGTCCTATCCTGTGCCATCCTCATCCTGACTGACTTGAGCCCATTACTGCAGTTACTGTGTTTATCCATCTCTTTGTGGTTTTTCCTCTCTTTCACAGACCCTCCAACTTTCCATGCATAATGTCTCTTGCCAAACAAGAAACTCTCCTAGCTACATGTCCAAAAATATGAGAGAAAGCTTCACTACCTTTGCCTCCAAGGAACACTCTGACTACACTTTTTCCAAGACATACCTGTTCATTCTTTTGGCAGTCTATGGGATACTCAGTACTCTTCTCCAGCCTCACAACTCAAAAATGTATCGATTCCCCTCCTGTCATCCTTATTCACTGTCCAACTCTCAGAAGAATGGCAGGTGATTGAAAATCTGGCACCCCCTAGTCTTCAGTATTTTGGGGAGGTCCCTGACAGCAGACTGGCTCAATGTAACATGTCTTCTGATCTTCTGACTGCTAAGGTAAAGGGTGTTGATTGTTAATCCAAGAAAGATGAAACCATTGACAGCTTCAATCTTTTCTCCACCTATCATGATGTTTCTGTGGCCCCATTGGTGAGGCCCTTTGTTTTCCCAGTGTTGAGATGTAATCCATACAGAAGGCTTGATCAGATTTGTTGAAGACTCCCAACAAAATGGATTGACACAGTGACTGTAACAACGGGCTCAAACATGGAGGAGATTGTAAGCAGTGTGCAGAATGGGGCAACATTCTAATCTGTTGTTCATAACACTTTAATGTGTCGTAGTTGACCTGAAAGCACGTAACAACATTTCTGACTTACAACAATCCCATTTGCCAGAGCAGAACTGCCCATGGGGTTTCCTAGACTGTAACCTCTGGGAGAGCAGATCACCAAGTCTTTATTCCAGACTGGTTGATGGGTTAGAATCCAAGGGCTCCAGATACAGAGATATGTATGTATATATAATATACATTGCTGTCATATGCCTAGATAACACATACTCTATAAGATGATAGATAGATAGATAGATAGATAGATAGATAGATAGATAGATAGATAGATAGATAGATAGAAAATATGATATTTGGAAAGTACTTTTCTAGATCCTATTTTATCCGGTCCTCACAACAATCACATGAGGACAACCCAGAAGCAAGCTATCTAGGATTTCCGTGTTACAGCTGAAGAAATTGAGGCAGGGAGCTCACACTCCAGCCAGTGCCAGAGACTCAACTTTGTGTCCAGGACCTTTTCTGCTCTTCATGATGCTCTTCTGAAACTATGGAATCTTCTGAAATATCAACCCTTGTTTATATTATTCTAAAGCACACACACAGAGAGAGAGAGAGAGAGAGAGAAATTCTAAATTTTAAAGAGATGGGGAGACCACTTCATGTCTTTCATCCAGATGAGCCTCTCTTGCTTCTTAGGACTGAAGAATGATTCTTGGCCATTTGAGGGGGGTGGGGTTCCCCCAATTGGGATGAACATGCACCTATTTCCTGAAGGTCCCCTGATAACTCTCCCCCAAGCGTGAGATCTCACCATGTGGACTCTCTGGTGTTTTCAACTTATTTTTATTTGACTGCTTTGGGACAGCACCTCTGCCGCCAGGAAAAACACATTCATTCCTCCTTCTCAGCAAGAAGGAGGAGCGACTGGTGGAGAAGTCTGGACGCTTACCTCCTGGGTGCCCGCCTCCGTGTCGGTCATGGCGATCACAGAGAAATCCCCATACCGGTCTCCGTTGGCATCTATGGACACCTGGCCGGCAATACCTAGAGGTCGACACACGACAAACTAAGAGTGAGTGGCTTCAAAGATCCCCTGCCTGCCAGCAAAAACAAGAACACCAACTGACAGGACTCTTTAAACAAACTAATGCCACAGGAAATCTCATCAGACGGAGCATTTTTGTTGGCATTTGGGAGACATTGTAATTTCATCTGTGTCTGCATTCCTAAATTCTTAGCATTTCTCCAGTTTAAAAAGAAAAAGAAATAAGTGGCTTTCTTTGAGGAACACGATTTGTTGGGTTGTTTTTAAAAAAATTGCATAGATGTTGAAAGCAGTATGCTTATCCTAGAGTTTTTTATTTAACAAATAAATTCGTAAAATATAAATGCATAAAGACTGAGCAGTGCAGGTACATTTATAGGAGCGTCATGGATTCACATTATCAAAATCATGTTTGAAGGAAAAGCATCACTGGCTGGCCTGAGACTTAGGAGATGTGCTTGAAGCACAGGAATGGGAAGAGTTCATGGATAATAGCTGAACCAACAGTTAAACAGGAGCAATGTCCCCTTATCCCTGTTTTCTTTATTCATTATTCATGTAGATGCTTCTTGAATCACTTCTAGGTATTGAATCTGGTGCTGCAGCTGAGGTAAATGGGAATCAGAGGCACATTCTCTGCTAAAGGCAACATGGACTAGTTGTTGTTGTTGTTAAGTGCCATCTAGCCGAGTATGACTCATAACGACCCAATGAACAATGGATCTGAACCCAGTCCTACCTTGGACCATCCTCATCATCTCTGAAATACCTGTGCCCATTGCTGCAGTCACTGTGTCAATCTCTCTCGTTAAGGGTCTTCTTCCCATTTACTGACCCTCCACCTATCCAAGCATGACATCCGTTTTCCAAGGAATGGTCCTTCCTAACAACATGGCCAAAGGGATTTAGCATATTTTCACTGGAATCTTACTGTCAACATTCAAATCTCAGCCTTCACATTTACAGGCTCTGTGACTTGAGACAAGGGACATGGCCCTCTGTACCCCAGTCTCCAAAACTGTGAAGTAAGCAGAATAGGGTCGCTCTCCCAAGAGGTTCAAACTATTCCAAAAGCTTCCAGTCACTGGAAACTCCATAGAGGGTAGGGGGGGCCACTGTGAGTCAGAATCAATTCAAAGACAGCTGGTCTGATGTTTGGTTTTATTAAGTTGATACTGAGCAGAGTAAATAACCGAAAGCCAGTAAAGAACTTTCCACACATGCTTAATAGATGTTAATTTCTTCTATTATTACTAGTATCACTATACTTGAAATCTGACCCAGGACACCTGGCCATTCCAGAACCACTCCTCAAAGAAAGAGCTCTCACATCCTCTTGGAGAATCAAAGAGCAGTAGAGTAAACGTGTTTTACAGGACAGTGTAGGAAGTTTGTGATTTAGACCATCGACAGCAATCAGAAAACTGTAATATTCTAGGTGTTGGAGAAGAATGTTGAATATACCATGAATTATGAAAGGAACAAACAAATCTGTCTTTAAAAAGACAACTGGTGTTCCTTAGATGCAAAGATGGTAAGACTTCCACTCTCCTGCTTTGGACATGTTATCAGGAGAGTCCACGCTGTTGGAAAGGACCTCATGTTCAGCAAAGTAGAAGCTCATCAAAAACTAGGAAAACCGTCATTGGCACATAGACACAGCAGGACATTCAAACCTGTCAGCTAACATGAAGATGATGCTGGAATGGACAACATTTCACCCTATCAATACCTAAGTTCCCTATGAGTTGGAAGTAACTCATCGCAGCAGTATTCAAGGAGGCCTAGGAACCCAAAGGGACCCGAGAGGATGTGATGTATCTGGGGACAGCTGAGCTCATGTGGGCAAGAGACCGCTGAGACTCAAGGCTGAAGCTGGGTGGCCAGTGTCCACATGAAGGATCTGAACTTACTTGGTCTAGCAGTGGGGGTTAGAATACAAAAGCAAATGTGCATCATTAACTGGTATTAACTCTGTCTATGTGATCACTTTCCTGCACTAATTAAGAGAACATATCAGGCACAGTCTAATTAACCAGAGCTATTTGTTTTCTTTCCTTTTAAACTGCGGTAGAGCTCCATGTAACTCTTAATTGGTGTTGCTATTGATTTGGTTCTCTCCGGAAGCACTGACTCCTCTAGTAAAATGGATGTCTGGGAAGAAGGATCCAGGGGAAAGTTCCATCCTCTAGTGTGGTTTGGAGAGGGCAGGTATTTGGGTTTACTGTCCTTTGGGTTGTGGTTTGAGGGCCCACTGATTTTTCCAGACTTTGGTGAATTTTGCCAGAAACAGAATGGAGCTCCCATTCATCTTGACTGTTTTGTTTCTTAACACAGACTGATTACAAAAGAGAGGCAGACCTCAACTACAGGTACCCTAGACACCCTGCAAAATCTTACATGAGAAATATCTTTCTCAAAACATCTGCATTTTATCTCCAAACAGCCATGTGCCATTTTGTTCAGGGGGGGTATGATGATGCGTGAAGTGTTTTGCACAGTATTTCATAAGACGAGGTAGTCCCAGTAATCCAAGACCTCACTACACCTTCCAGATATTACAGTTCTGCCAAGAAGTGGGGTGAGAACCCTTCGGGTGGCCAATTAGTGAAGTGAGGCTTCACCTGTGAGTACTGAACAGAAGGTGAGATTGTCAGGCCAAGAGTAGAATTCTCCTGTTTAAATTTCCCTTATTCCTTAGTAAGTAAAGAGGCTTCCCACCCTCACTTATATGAGACCATAAAAGAGTTCAAGGTTGAAGCTTCAGTGTTTTTTTACCTTGTCACCGTGACCTCTCCCACAAAGAGCTTCTTCCCAGGCTATTTATTGAAAGCCTTGAGAGGTGGTCAAATGTTTCTCGGCAATAAAATCCAAATTTGTCAAATAACAACCTGAGTATTTTTCCCCTGACAACTTAGTGGTCACTTACAGGTTACTTGTTTTCATTTTCCAGATACCGTAAGAGTTCCTCTGGGCCCACCCTTGGATGGGACGTTATCTGGCAAAGAAATCTGGCTCTCCAAACAATTCAAACCCCAAACTGAGTTTGGCTTCAATTATCTGTACATTTGGGCAAATGGAATTCTAACTGAAGACTGGGCTATACAATTGATTGTTTCAGAATTGGTTTCAGATGGCCTGCATTGACTTGGCCCTAAGATGCAAGTGTCAAGGTGACCTCAGGGAAAATTTAGCCCATGCCCTGGGTTCCAGCCACTACAGGCGCCTGCCCTTCCTTTCACAGGCGCCCCTGGTGGTGCCCTCTGCCGCCACCACCGCCAACTCTGGCTCTTGCTCTCCTGTCAAAAGACCAAGGACAAATGACCACACCAGGTAGTGAGTAAGAGCTAAGAATGGGCTGTGGCCAACCAAGATTCTGTCTGCACACACACGGGTTTCTCCGAGTATTGTGTACCACTTCTGGGAAATCTGACTCTGTCCTAATATGCCCCCTGAATTCTTCCCTTTGATTCTAGCTCCTCAGACGAATTAGTAAGAAGTGAGGCAAGATAATCCTATGAGTTTAATTACGTATGCCTTAGACTCTACCTAAGTTAAGGGATGACAGTCTGATTTGAGTAAGACATGGCACCCACTATGTTCACCAGGGAGAAATTAAATCAACCAACTGCCCTCATAACTACCGCCGACACAATGCTACATGGAGCCTCTACTACCCTGCCCTTTTAAAAGAAGCTGGGACGGGCTAGAGCAGTGGAATCGGTAGGAGCCCCAGTTGGGAATGGGGAGAAACTGTCCAAAATTTAAGCTTGCCATATTTATTTCTGTCATTGAAAAAGGCATTCGTTGATATATAAGTAATAATAGCTATATTAACTACATATATGCATTAAAGAATTCCGAGAAGAGCTGATGTGACACAGAACTAGCAGGGCTCTTACCAGCGAAAGATTTGCCCAGCCTTCTTGTTATTCATGTAAAGGAGGAAAAGCCACAAGACCAAAAAGGACTAGTCAGTGGTTCGGATGCAGAGTTCCTGGCCTGACCCAGTAATCTGGACTCTATCAGTGGCTTTAAAATGATATCACTTTTATGACAAAGCATGGTTTTCCATCTCATTTGGTAAAATCCAAAGTTCCTACCTAAGGCCCCGGGATGCACCTCTCTGACATCTCCGGCCATGCTGACCACCATCACACAATCTGCTCAAGATTCACACACCTCTTCTGGGAAAGCTGAGCACATTCATAACAAATGCACGCGGGGGTGTTGCGTTTGCTGCCCCTAGATGATTCTTTACCTTCAGGAGCCATAGTACTTGCCCCCATCCCCCTTCCCTCATGTTTCTTCTTAACTCTCATTTTATCAGAATGGGCTTCTCTGGGCACCACATCTATGAATAACAATCCCACCCAAAACTTTCTGTCACTTTCTATCTCCCTATTTGTTACACATTTCATTTTGTCCCCCTCAAAATTTGTGTTGTACATCTTAACCTCTCCGCTGGTAGTGACAATCCCCTTTGGAAATGAGGTGCCTTTGTTATGTTAATGAGACATGATTGGTGTAGGGTGTGTCTTTAAAAAAATTTCACTCTTTTATGATTGCATTTTTGCAAAACTGCCAAACCACTGGGAACTATCTGAGAGGGGGAAACATACAACTCAATCCGTGACAACTTTCCTGTATAAATTATTTGAGATAAGATCTAAAAATGCACATGTGCTGGCAAGAGCCATTAAATCATGCTAGACAGAATCATAGAAAACTATTAAGAGTGATTATGTTGGGGACAGGAGCTTGGGTGGGAAGGAAAGCTTTCACTTTTCATTTTGTATATTTTTGTACTGTTCAAATTTTCTAGCCAAGAATAATTTCACTCTTGGGCAATTTTCAAATAGCAACAGAGGTTGCCTGAGTGATGAGATTGTGGGTTATTCATTTGTTCTTAAACTTTCTGTATTTGAGAAAATAACTAATGTACACTAGTTAAAAATATGGGGAAAGAATCAGAGGTCTCTAATCACACAGGCGTAAGCTAATACTTCCTGAGTTTGACAAAGACCAATACAGACTGAATATATTATGGTAAATCTTGGAAAACAGCTTGCTTTAAAGCTTGTCACAGCACTCTTCATAAACTTATTCTTTTGTGAACTAGGCTTACCATCAATTTAATTTCAAGAATGGAATTATTAATGCATTAAGTTGTTCATAAGATCAATATGAGTCGCCTACAACTCAATGGCACTTAACAACAACATAGTGGACAGAAAGTGATGCTACCAGCCAAAGGGGGATGACTTTAATCCACAGCCCTCAGGCCTGCTTTTAATTGGTTTTGGTCAGACATTCTTCTATGTCGTATAGCCCTGGTCTGTCCATTTTCTGTACAGAGGTAACTTGTAGTTGCTGTGATGCTAAACACTGTGACACTGATGTGTCAAATGTGATAATGGATAGCCATGGTGGACAGTGTTTGGTGGAGCTACGCAATTAAAACAAGCTTGAAAGCAGGAGTGGCATCCACTTCCAAAATGACTTGCCTCTGGAATCTGGAAAAATGATGAAAGTTATACAAGTGTTCAGGTCTTTCATTCATAGGGTTGCTACGAGTCGTCTATGACTCGACGACGGCTCTTAACAACAATCAGAAGGAGAACTAGGCATTTTCTATTTTAGTAGGACTTTTTCAAAACACATTCATTCATAGCCATTGGGTCAGAAATGACCCATAGCTGACCCTCCAGTGGGTTTTCAGAGACTGTAAGTTGCATGAGAACAGATGACCATCTTTCTCCCATGAAGCGATTGGTGGATTCAAACCATCTGCCTCTGAGTTGGCAACACAACTCCAGACCCACTAGGCCACTAAATCTCACATGGAATACACCATTTAATTTTCACAGTAAGCCTGTGAAGTGAGTTGATCTTGACTTTACAACAGAGAAAAGCAGAACATCAGCAAGGACCCTCAGCGATAATGGGGCGGC